GCAGTGACCCCAAACAATGTGGGGATGGGACAGGCAGTGACCCCAAAAAACATGGAGATGGGGACAGGCAGTGCCCCCAAGCAGCCCGAGGAGCCTCCCTGACCTGGTGAGATCCTCGATGTCCACCAGCATGGCATCCTGCTCCGTGTGCAGCTCGTCCCGGATCAGCAGCAGCTGCACCAGCTCCTCGTTCAAGCCTGGAGCCAGGAGACAAAAGGGGGGAGTTTGTGATTTCCTGGGAAACCCCAGTTTGGGACCTGTACATCAGCCTTCCCCACAGCTACACAGCTTTTAAATCCCTCCAGGGATGGGGATTCCACCACTGTCCTGAGAAGCTGTGCCAGGGATGGACAGCCCTTTCCATAAGAATAAATAAATAGAAATCAATAAATATATATTTAAAAAAATACAAAAGAATATCTACATAAAACAATAATATATAAATATATACAAGAATATATAAGAATAAATATATGTGTATATATGTGTATATATGTATTCTTATAAATATTTATTCTTATATTTATTTATTCTTATATATATTCACGTATATTTATATATATTATTATTCACATATATATAATAATATATAAGAACAAATATAAATATATATAAATAAATATATATTCTATATATTATGATATTACATATATTATTATATAAGATATAATATATATTTTATATATTATTACATTATATATATTATTATATAAGAAATATCATTAGATTATAATATATATTATAATGTACATATATAATAATATATAAGAATAAATATAAATACATATAAATAAATATATATTTTATATATTATTATATAATATAAGATATATCATGCATATTTTATATATTATTACATTATATATTATTATATAAGAAATATAATTATATTACAATATATATTATAATGCACATATATAATAATATGTAAGAACAAATATAAATATATATATAATATATTATTATATTATATATTATTATATAATATATATCATTATATTATTTTATATATTATTATTCACATATATATAATAGATGATGATGATATAATATATGAGAATAAATATAAATATATGTAAATAAATACAAAAATATATAATATACTATCTATAAATATAACTAAAGGAAAATATATATTAATATATATTTATATATATTATTATTCACATATGTATAAATATATATAAAATATATATATATGTATACTCATGTTATTGTACAGTTAATAACATTTCTCTGTATATCCTGGAGAATTTTCTTGCTTAAACAGGATATCCCAAAGAATAATTAAAGAATTCTCACTTACTTTCTATCTGTGAGTGCAGATCATTGACTATCACTTGTAGCTGCCCGATAGTCATGTCTCTGAGATCAGTGGGTTTCAAACTTCTCTTCATCAGGCATTCACTTATATGAGGCATATGTGGCAGCTGGAAGGGAATTGTCAATATTTGACTCTTTTCTTCCAAATATTTGTATTTCTGAACCATTCAGGCTGTTTCCATCTCCCTCTCACAACAGGCACCAATGACTCCACCACAAAGTGAGTTTGACCTTCTACCCAACACTGCACCCAAGGCTTGAAGTCATAAACAATTGCAATTATTAATCCTGTGTATTTTATGGTAATAGTGAGTAATAAATTCCACTGAAACACGTGGAAAATGAGAGTTTGCTGTCCCGTAACACCCCAACAAGACAACCCACGTCGACCCTTCCACTCTTGGGATGTCATCATCCTCCCCATGTCCACCAGTGGTGTGGATGTCCAAAGGCCTGGTGTCCCTCCCATCCCATCCCATCCCATCCCATCCCACCCCATCCCATCCCATCCCATCCCATCCCATCCCACAGCCCCCACTCACAAGATCCGCTACGGGCGATTTCTTCCTGTTCTGCTTTTCCACCTCCACCTGCATTTTGGCCATGGGCTTGGCCATAGCCAAGGCCATCTTGGCTTCAGCTTGGAGTTTCTTTTGCCTGGTGAGGAAGTCCATGTCGTCCAGGGACTCTGACTCCTCCTCTGTCGTGTCTCTGTCGGAGTAGGACGAGCTCTGCTTGCTCTAGGGAAGCACATGGAGCTGTGACAGCCCTGTCACCCCGACCGTGCCAACAGCAAAGACATTTGCTCTTGGCTTGACTTCTTTTGTGCTCTTAAAAGTGGCATCATTTCTACAGAAACTGTGAAAAGCACGGATTTTTTTTCTTTTATCTTAATCCACGAGATTATCTCTCGAAATCAGAGCAATTCCCAGACAGGGCTCTGTGACTGTTAATACAACTTTAAACGGGAAGAGAAGCCACCAGATCAATCAGGGTTGAAAGGACACAGGGGTTAAGCTGGAGGGAAACATCTGGGGCTGCAGTGTCATCTTCACCAAGGAAAAAAAAAGGGGAGGAAAAGCTGCTGGGAGCTGATAACACCTCACCTCCATCACAGAGCCAAAAAGAAAGGGAGGAAGGAAGGAAGGAGGAACCTTCACACGAAGGCATCGGCTCCACAGCAGCTCTTTATCTGCCCCTCAGCATCTCACACTTTACTGATGGCTGAAAACGCTGCTCTGGGCTTTGGTGTTGCTGTTTGAACAGGATCAGCTCTTTCTCAGCTCCCCCAGGGATGCTCCAGGACGGGACCCCAGACCTACCATGGGCGACAACGGCGTGTCCAGGCTGGTCTCTGTCTTGCTGTCGTCGGCATCGCTGTCCTTGTCGCTGCCACTGTCGTTCACAAAGCAGATCTGCAGGTTCATCCCACTTTGTAATCTGGGGGAGGGAAGGGACAGGTGACACCAGGGTCCCCTGGAGCCAGGACAGGGCTCTGGGCAAGATGCAGAAGCTCCTGGAAACTCAGCAACAGGGCTTCTACCACCATCTGCTGATGGACTGCAGAACTACCCGGGCACTGCACAGCTTCTGCCATCAAAAACCCCCTCAGGACTCACTGACTCTCTCACTACATTAAATAAAATATATAAAGTATAGATAAAATATACTGAAAACATTAACATCTAAAATTTATGAATTATTCATAAATAAAGATGAAACATCTAAAATAAAGGTAAATATATAGAGACGTTAATAACGTGTAATAATATCTATTGTAAAATATTTTGTTAATGATTGAAATGGTTTATCATTATTCAGTTTTCTGAATTAGGTTTCCTTCAGGTTTTCATTTTGGATTTGAAAAAGGTTGCCCAGAGAAGCTGTGGCTGCCCCTGGATCCCTGGAAGTGCCCAAGGCCAGGATGGACAAGGCTTGGAGCAACCTGGGCTATGGAAGGTGTCCCTGCCCATGGCAGGGGATTGGAATGAGATGAGCTTTAAGATCCCTTCCAAGCCAAACCATTCTGGGATTTTACTCTACAATTCTATATGTAGAATTTTTTCTATAATAATAATTTATATATATAAAAATATAAATACAAAAATATAAAAATTTACATATATAAAATTATATATACATATAAAATAATATATAATTATATATAAAAATTTACATCTATATATAATATATATAATTTATATATATATATATACATATATAATTTCTATAATTTTATTCTATAATTCTGTATGTAAATATGGGAGCAATGGTCCTGTAGGTCCTGGATCAGACAACCCTAATGCTCTGCCTGAACCATAAATATTCATGTCACCCCCAAAGCCTTCAGGTACAGCTGGTGATCTGTGGTGGCACAGCTGCCAGACCCTCCTGGCTGTGTTAATTAGCCCCACGCTCTAATTACACGACAGCGGCTCCTGGTTCAGCTGTAACTACACAGCAACACTGTTTTCCCTTTCAAATGACTCCCAGTTCAATTTAATTTCACAACTGCACCTCTCTCTGCTGGAATAGCAATAATCCAGCAATATTCCAGCAATATTCCTCCTGGCTCGCTGCCTCTCCCAGGCTCCTTTCTCCTCCCACACCATGGCAACAGGTAGAGCTTCACTCCCAACATGGGAGTGTTTGATGCTTCCCTGGTTACACCCCGGCAGCTGAGCACAAACAAGCCTTTCTGGAGCAGATTGGATGCAGACATTTCAAAAATCAGAATATAAGTGCAGGGCGGCAGCTCCAGGGATGGAGCCGGGTCTGGAAGCAGAGCTTGTGTGGAGCTCGTGGGTGTGAAAAGGGATGTTAAAGCTGATTTTTTTCCATTCTCTGTCACTTTCTGTGCGTGAATCAAAGAATCCCAGAATCATTTAGGTTGGAAAAGACCTCCAAGACCATTGAGTCCACCCTGTGCCCGATGCCCACCTTGTCCCCCTGCCCAGAGCACTGAGTGCCACGTCCAGCCCTTCCTTGGACACATCCAGGGGTGGGGACTCCAAACCTCCCTGGGCAGCCTCAGATGAACCGAATCCAGGACTGGTGGAACAATGGGACCATAGAAACACAGATTCATTGGTGTTGAAAGGACCTTAAAGCTCATCCAGTGCCACCCCCTGCCATGGGCAGGGACACCTCCCACTATCCCAGGTTGTTCCAACCTGGCCTTGGACACTTCCAGGGATCCAAGGGCAGCCACAGCTTCTCTGGGCAACCTGTTCCAAATTATACAAAAAAAATCTGAAGGAAACCTAACTCAGGTAACTTGGTCTTATTTCCTTCACCCCCTGAGCATCCAAATATCTTTCTGTACAGTTTTAAATCAGTATTTTAGCATATTGTTCACAACCATTTACACAACACGCGACTGCCTTTGGGGCCCAAGACGTTGCTCCAAACCAAGGAAAATCCAGGGGTATGGCTGAAAGCAAAAACTGAGGGAAGGTTTTGGGATGTCCCAATGGAGTTATCTCCCCTTTTCCAGGCTCCAGGGAGGTTTGGGGCTGTGCCTTACCGGGATGACAGGCTGGGCTTGCCGCTCTTGCTGCAGCTGGTGTAGAGTCCTGGGCCATCGTCGAAGAAACTGCCCAGGGCCAACTTCTGCCTGATGGACTCCCGCTCATTCTTCTGGGCCTGGGAGGGAGGGGAGACAAGGAAGGATGAAGCTGCTGCTCAGGGAGGGCACAGGAGGGAGGGTTGGCCCACCAGCCCCACCACCATGCTCATGATGCCCGGAGTTTCCCGAGCGTTCCCACCACAGCCCACCTGCATCCCTCTGCCCACAAAGGATCGTGGACTGGTTTGGGTTGGAAGGGACCTTAAAGATCACCCAGTTCCAGCCCTCCTGCTGTGGGACATGCTGATGGAGATGTATCTATACATCCCTAATCCATACACCAGTATCTGTACCTATATCCACACACCTGCACCTCCAGCATCTTCCACTTCCCTGAGCAGCCTCCAAACCCACCCCCTTCTGCCAATGTGTTTAAAGATGTATTTTTAACCATTGCCATCAAATTATCCACTAAATATATTTATATCCACTAAATGTATTTATAAAACACATTTTAAAATGTATTTTTACATATATGTATATGGGTTTTTTAATAACAATCAACAAAGGGATTTGAAATTAATCATTGATCAATAATTATGGGGGAAACTCTGCAATCAAAGTGCAATAAAGGCAAATCACAGATCTAGATTTAAAATCAGCCTCAGTCTCTCCTGGTGTCTGTCACTGATGGATTATGTGCCAACGTTGACAATAAGGCAGCAAGTTATTGATAGCAGGAACATTCTGGAGCCTTCAAACACTTCATTTTAAAATAACACTTAATACACAACAAAAGAAAATATAGCAGGCAAGTCTGGGCTGGTTCCACGGTGTTAATTAATGTAACTGTGCTTCCCAGATTTCACCTAAGGAAAAATAAAGCAGCACCTTTTTGATACAAGGAAGTGCAAAAAGATGCAAATTATTAACTTAAAATAACTAACAGTTTAATTCCAACTCCAGAGCTGATTACATACATTATTACACTGCCCATTATACTGTCAATCCCTTACCAAAATACATACTTGGTTTATAAGCCAACTCCTTTGATTTAAAATACTTCAAATAATAAAAATAAACCCCGTGACATCGAGAGGTCTCGAGGTTTTGGTTCAGCTCCAGGTTTCTGAAGCCCCACCCAGAGCACTCAGCTGTATTTCTGTACTTGGTTTTTTTCAGGTTTCAATAATCGATGCCTCAATCAGACTTCAAATTAAAACCAGCCAGCCCTGCTGGGGGAGGCAACACAGGGAGAAAATTAAGGAAAAATGAGGGAAAATATTGTTTTAATGGACTGAGAGCAGAGAGAGGAGGTTGGTGCCCATCTCAGGACGCCCGTGGCTGCCTCAGGGCATCAATATTTCATCAAGTCCTGGATACTCAGCCTCCCTTTTTCCAGCTCACATGATCCTCTCCCGCATCTTCCCGGCTCTATCTGATTTTTCCTTGTGTTCCAACAGAAATCCAAGGCCCACAGCACATCTCCACCTCCTCCTGCCCAGCCTCCACACCAGCTGGGGCTGCTCCCTCCCCAGCACCAGCCCCACCTACTCTGTGTGCACCAAAAACTGCTCTTTTTGCACTAAAACACACAGAACCACGGGCAGAGCTGCACATATTTCCTCCTCTCAGATGGGGCTGTGCCTCCAGATTTTTTTTTTTTCATTTTTTTTTCATTTTGCTCCATCTCCCACCAGGCCCAGCTGCTCCCAGTCTGACATCTGTACATTTAATCAATGTGCAATTTGTTTTCCCCACCAGGTCATTACTGAGGATTCTAAATAACTCTGCTCCCAGGACTGAGCTGGGAATATCCCATTTGATAAGGCAGACACACAGGCTAATGACCCCAAAGAAACCAAGAGTCCTATTTGTTATTATAAAATAGGGAGCAGTTACTGAGAAATAGAATATACCTGAGGGAACTGGACTCTGGGCTTTGGATAAATTACCTGACAGCTGCATTGATATCCAGAGCTGGGTATGGAAAACTATAAACTGAGAAGGGAAATGGCCTGGTTTTTAATGCCTATCAAATATACTTACTTGGTATATAAAAATAACGGGTCAAATACTCCAATTTCAAAGGTAATAAGAAGGAAAACATAACCCAGTGTTATTTAAATGCGTATTTTGGCACTCAGTCAGAAAACAAACGTGTATTTCTGCAAGAAGGGGCTGACAATTCAGTTCACATAATGATTTGAAACAAAAAGCTGCGTTTTATTTTTAAGGCAAAACAATCTGGGGCGGATGTTTTCCTTCTTAGCCTTGACCTTCCCCTTGGGAAGGTCAGTGGCCACCTTTGTTTAAGCCCAGGAATGAAAACACAACGTCAGGTTTGTGGCTGTGGAAGGTTTTTCTGCGGCGTCCCAGGACAGGGAGAAGTTTGGCTGTTCCAACAGCAGCTCCAGCCCCGTCACCTGCTGCAGTTACTGCTGTTTATCCACCTATTTCCATCACTCCTTGGTGTTTGCAGATTATACACAACCACCAGTTCCACCTCCTGCCAGCAGCCAACCCGTCCCCAACAGCAAAAACCCACCAGCTTTGGGTGAGAGCCTGAATTTATCCAACATATCATGGAATCCTTGCATGGTTGGGTTGGAAAGAACCTTAAAGCTCATCCAGTCCCATGGGCAGAGACACCTTCCACTAGCCCACGTTGCTCCAACCTGGCCTTGGACACTTCCAGGGATCCAGGGGCAGCCACAGCTTCTCTGGGCAACCTGGGACAGGGTCTCCCCACCCTCACAGCCAGGAATTCCTTCCCAATATCCCATCTAACTCTCTGGCAGTTTGAAGCCATTCCCTGTGTCTTGTCCCTCCATCCCTTGTCCCCAGTCCCTCTCCAGCTCTCCTGGAGCCCCTTTAGGCCCTGCAAGGGGCTCTCAGGTCTCCCTGGAGCCTTCTCTTCTCCAGGTGAACATTCCCAGCTCTCCCAGCCTGGCTCCAGAGCAGAGGAGCTCCAGAGCCCTTGGAGCATCTCCGTGGCCTCCTCTGGACTCTCTCCAGCAGCTCCACATCCTTCTTGTGCTGGAGACCCCAGAGCTGGAGGCTCCCATGGAAGTGGAGCCGAGGGGGAGAATCCCTTCCCACCCACCCCCCAGCACCAAACAGGGTGCACAGCCCGTGCCAGGCCCCGTCCAGGAGCACTGGGACACCCAGCCAGGCCACCAGAGCTATTTTTGCCGGGCTCTGTCATTACCAGCCTTGGACAATGACTATATTTAAAGTTCCAGAGCCATAGGCAGCGCCTCATTTTATCTCTGCAAAGCACAAGGGCTGTTACTGCATTTACAAACAGAAATTACAACCCCACGACACGTGTTTTTATCTCCTTTCCCTTCACGGGGGATTTACTGGTAAATGCAAACCCAAGTCAAACTTACACGTCTCAAGCCACGTGGCAAAGTGCCTTAAAATCCCGAGGGTCTTGAGGTAAGAGATGGAAACATCTCCTGACATTTTCTTCATCACAAAGATGAAGGAAAAGCATGGAAAGGCAGAGGGAGGAAGGTTTGCTGCCCTGTGCCAGTGCATTAAACACCTTGGAGTACTTCCCTGCCCCAGCCCCTGAATCCCATGGCCCTGGGAGGGTGTTGGGCAGAATCCCATGGCCCTGGGAGGGTGTAGGGCAGAATCCCATAGCCCTGGGAGGGTGTAGGGTAGAATCCCATGGCCCTGGGAAGGTGTAGGGCAGAATCCTATAGTCCTGGGAGGGTGTAGGACAGAATCCTATAGTCCTGGGAGGGTGTAGGACAGAATCCTATAGTCCTGGGAGGGTGTAGGACAGAATCCTATAGCCCTGGGAGGGTGTTGG